TGTTTGAACGCCACAAGAAAATAATCTTGATAAGTTCAGAATTAATTGAACGAATAAAAAGAAGAAAGCAACAATGTCTTGCAATAATCTCTTAATAATTGTGTGTTTTACAATGAATAGACTGAGTCATATTTGTAAGAAACGCATAAAATCTAGCTAGAAAACTAAATTAATAGTAAAAATGTCAAGAATTACCATAAAACTAAAGTTTTAAATAAAATAGAAGATTGCGCGAAGTTGAAAAAACCGCGTCCAGAAATTGTACTATGTGGCAGCATAGTGAAACTTCATGCGATCGCATAGGCTACTTCAAATGTTCTCAATTTGGCTCGGTATCTATGCATGCGACCGCATACATAGGTAGGCTATGCAGTCGCATAGCTTTACCCCTCAACTCTTTGCATGTTGTTTGCACCAAATTGATTCATTTTGTTTCATCTTTCAAACCAAACATGAAACTTGTTCTTTTGCTTGTTAAGATGAATGTTTCATCCATCGTGGCTTGAACAAAAAATCTCATAGCTTTTTTGACCCGCTTTGCTCGCACCTAGTTATAGGCATTTTCTCAACGATCAAGGGATCTTTGCCACGACTTGTCCTCATATTATGGATGACATCACATAGAGGGGGTAAAGATGATGGTGATTCGAAGGTGGTGGTGTGTGGTTGTGTTTCATTCTAGCATGTACGATTGCAGTGGTGATGATGTGTGGTGGTGTCCGATGGTTGTGCTGTGGTGGTTCGTTGGTGGACTGCAATTGTAATGTATTTATGTTCATTCATTTGAGAACTTATGTTTTCCCTATGTATAATGTAGTATACCTGTGTCATTGTTCATTGACTTACTGAGTCTCAAGTCTCTTAAGAAAGGAAGAGCTAAAAAACTTTATAAGAGTTACTTACTGCACCCAATTGCCTTGCACAGCCGTCTTAAGCAAATGCACTTGTGGATAAGTAGGCTTTTCTTGCAGACCGATCTTCTGTCGAGTTCTCCTCCTCAGTTCGCGATATAATTAGAACAGAGATAATGGACTTAATTCACCTTTGCCCACAAGTTGTTGGACAAGAATGAGAGCAGGAATTTTCACGTCCAGTAGGAAGTAAGGAGACCACCCCTCATTCTCGTCAGTTGTACATAAGGTGTCCATTTATATGTTGACGATCCCACATCTACTTCTAATTCAACCTCATCGGTGCCACCAAAGAAAGAGGCCTCACATCCCAATGGCTTACATTACCTTATTGCAACTGCTATTGTTGGAGAAAGTGGCACTAATATCGTCTGATTCGATGTCATCTTATTATATTCAGTTACTTCTGTCTTCTCCCTTAAATTTGCATTCTTTTCCTATTCCTTGTGTTGTGTAAAAGTTAAGACCATTGACATTTCTATAGGGAATTGGGATCGCCTGCTAGCTAGCTTAGATTGGAGCAAGAATGGTCCTTCAAATCATATTTGAGTCTATGTTCAAAAAAAAACAAAAACCACCCTCGGCTGAAAAGAATGCCTACCAAGTTTGGATAAGGGAATGATTTCCCCAACCATTAAAGGAAATGCTTGATAAATGAAGATGCAACGATCCGAAGTTGGTGTCTAAATTGGCTGCCCAACTAAAACTTCCTTTAGCAAATATATAAATTCGAAAGAGAGATCATTTCCGCATAGATAGACCTCTATCTTCGGGAACTTCTGAGCTTAATAGGACTGACCACGGAAGTAGAATAATCCCAAAAAAAAGAAAAAGAAAAAGAAAAAGAAAAAGTTGATGAAAATAAGATAATAAATCTTGTAGTGGAGAACGCAAACAAATTTATATCCACCTGTGGTTATGCCCCTTTTCACCTATATCATAATGTCAAAGCAAAAGAAAAGATAGTATACGCATGCTTGCGATGTTGGATAGCCTAAGAGGGGGAAGAATCTGATTCATGTGTATGCGTGGAGAGTAAAAGGCCGTATTTAGTGAGTGAATAATATTGAAAGTAATTTTGAAATTTCAAAACAAATGAGGATGTAAAATGTAATTTCAAAATAAAACTACAACGTTTTTCATGACACATATTTCCTCTATTTTTTCTATTATTTTACAAACCCCTCTCCCCCGTCCCTTACTTAGCCTTTGACAACAGCCCACTATTCATTAGCAAATCCTGTAGTGAAATTGAAACTACTTAACTTCAAAAGCTAATTCGCGTGTATCAAGATGTTATATATTTCAAGAGCTATATCTCCACAAGATGAATGGAAAAAGTCTTTTTCCTTTAATGCCTTCCATTCCACTATTTGGATAAAAATTTACTAAATAGTTATTTTAATTGAAGATTTATTATATATTGCATGAAACAGGAGAAAATCCATCATCTCCAACTCGGATTTAAAAAAATAAAAGGAAAAGTGAAACCACCAGATCCCCATGGCTAAATAGTAATATTAGCAAGAAATTACACATGTATTAAAAAATAAATATGTTTATGCCAAAATTGACATAAATCAACATAAATCTAAAAAAGAAAAAGTCCCAAGTTTTTAGCGAAGACCAAATCTCAATTCTTACTACTTCTGTATGTTTAATAGTGGTACTCAATGGACATTCAACAAAACTTCATGTCAACCACCAAACTTCATTTTCTTTCAAATTGGTAGCTAAACTAGAAATTTATAGGATTAATCATTTCATTTGTCACGAAACTATAGTTTGAGCCACTACTTAATAAGCCCCCTGCTTGACTCTCTTTATTTCAAAAATCTTTATTTCTCATACGCATTTTCAACCACTCATTCACATAATAAAATATTTTACACGTAAACCCAAAATTTTTCCCTCCTTTTTAACCACTCTTTTCAAAAAAATCACTATTTAAAACATCTTTTCCCTCCATTTTTCTTTATAATGGATATCAAACATGTACTAAAAAACCTCATTGGTAATTGAACATTCAAGCAAGTTAGTCATCCATCACTGGGACAGATTCTGTCTCATTTCTTTGATGGAATTGCTCGTGGAAAAAAAGAATCCAACGTGGCACCATTTAAGCGCCATATGTTCCAGTTCAGAATATTAAAGGACATGAATAGAATGATGAAACCATAACAAATATTTACGTAAGAGTGACCAACATAAAACGATATTTACGTTCAGCGGTAAACTTTAAAAAAAAAAACCAAGCTTAGTGACTAGTATGAAATATTACATTTCATAATTTTGCAGTCTGCCAGCTACTTTTCATCAAAATCTCCTGGGAGATTAGCTTAACAGAAACAAAAAGTAACAGTATGAATATCCTCTTAGAAATTCAACAAGGCAAGACTGTACAACAACTTTGTGGGAACAAGTAAAACAGAGTAGAATCTTTAACATCAACTTGGCGTGTTCAAATAAAGTAACTACAGTTCAGTACATACGTCTCAGGCAGCAAAAACTGTGATAAGCTGTGGGGAAAGAATTTGACGTAGGACTAAAGAAGGCAAATAAGCCATTAGTCACTGCAGCAGATCGAAAGCATCTCTCAATCAACAATTCCAACACACCATGTTGAAACTGTCGATATTCATCAAACACTTCATGTTAGAGAGACGTGTTTCTCAAGATGGAAGTACAAAATTTTGAAAATACTAAAGAGAACAGGCGATAAATCATACTTACTAATCATATCAGTACTCCATGTTGCCCTGATTTTCGAGACATCTCACTAAAACAGCTGCTAAACATGCATATCCAAAACTTTCTGGCAAGCGGAAAAGAAGAGCGGCATTAATAACGTTGACAAGTTCACGAACATTCAAGCACAAATGCACTCGTACAGGCACAGATGAAATTGATTGGACTTGATAGGACTAAATTTCATAGCACAACACAAATAGCTTACTGATACACAACTAAAGAGGGAAAGATGAGAAGAATTCAGGAGGAAGAAAAATTCTACATCAGATTCAATATGAATATGAATAATAGAACAAATTAATTCAAATCCTAGGTTCCCTTTTTAGAGCATAGAGTTTAATTAGCCCTGTCTGGAAGCACTTCTCAAGTAATTTTAATCATTCTTTTTTACCGTCGACATCTGACCACTCTCATGACCCATAATTGTATTTATTCTGCATTGCCAAGTTTGCTCTCCAAGAATAGTCAAATATGATGACTGAGGAAATGTGTACAAGTAATTCTAACATCTAACAGGTGTAATATAGACTATTTCATTAGTCCTTGTCTTTTTTATAAAATAATGAAGTCAAACGTTGCGGCAAAACGGTCAATAAAACTCTTAAAATCTTCAAAGAATTGCTCCCAGGCAGGCGCTTAACAGGAAACTTCTAATAAATCACAAGCTTATCAAATATAAAAATCTCCTAGTTAATCATAAATAATCGAACCTAGTAAAAATAAAACTCTATTTAAACCATCTTTTCCCATAACTTACATTCCGAACAATAAAGTCGCCAAACATCAAGAGAAATATTAACGATTCTACTTAGATCACAACTAGATACGTAGAGAGAGAGCTATGATTCGTTAATAGTTATTCAACTATTAAATTAAAACTATTGCCAACTCATTTGGATTGTCATGGTCTATGATGCATTAACACGGACATGTGTCCAATACGACACGTCAGATAGCCAACACGCAATTTTTCAAAGAGTATTGACATGACACGTTGCCGATACGTTAATTAAAATCTTTAAGATTCCTCATTTATATAGTACAAATTTATTTTTATATTTGCTATTAATTTTTCTTGCTGAAATCTTTTAAATATGAGTACCTATTTGTTATTTAATAATAATTTTGAGTTAAAAATATATAATATTTCTGATGAAAGAAAAATGACCATGGTAGAACATTGGAGGAGTGAAGGTATTCGACAAGAGTCCGACTCTGACACGCTACACTAGTTGAAGTGTCCGTGCAACACAAGTCATGGTTTCCACTAGCATAACCCAGAATTTCCTTCAGTTACCTTTAAAACCGGAGGCGTGAAATCTTACATTTCCAGTGCACTTATTTTGGCATTGATGAGGAAGCAATGTGTTCCATAACTTTCCATTGAGGCCTTGCAGCATTGGACAAAGGAATCCCATATTCTAAAATTGACTTGAGCCATTTGACTTTGTTAACAAGTTCCTCCAAGTCCAATACTGCTGCCTCCAATTTGTGGGAGCGCATGGAATTTAAGGTCATCCCTCCGCTAGCTCGGTACTTCTTCAGTGGATGTGGGTGCCCCTCGGCAACTTCAGTTGTAGGTTCAGCTAGAATTACTCTAATATGTGAAGTAGAATTAGTATCTGATGAATGTGTTTTCCTTGTACTACTGCCCCCACCAGCTAAGATGAAATTTGTTTCTCGAGTGTCCTTCACTTCCTTTGGAACAGTGTTTCTCAAAGATAGTTCATGTAACTCCCTTGCTTCGTTGCCCTTCAAATCTTCTGAGTCTGCTAAAGATTTGACTAAACTACGAGAAGAGAGGGATATGTTGGGTGATGATGCAGCTTTCACCTTACCAGCCTCTGTTTCTTGACCTGTTTTATCGGTTACCCAAAATTTCAATGTCAAGCAAATCAAATTCATAGCAGAAAGGAAACCAAGACATTGGAAGAGAGAACTTCCACTTACAAAAAAAAAAAGGAATACTGAAAGAATAGCAAGAATTTTCCATCTTAATGACAAATAAATGATAAGTTTGACACCTAGAAGTTGTATCTATTCAGCACATTTCTCAACAAGCAATGGGGTGGCCATAACATTGATCAGTGGTATAACTATTGTGTGATTTCTTTCCATGAGTAAATTGGACTGTCAGGATAGTGGTCAAATTTTCCTTCTGGGATATACTGCTAATAGAGAATTTCAAATGTGCAACAGGCATCTTAAAAGTATATTTCATGATTAGCTGAGTCTCTAAGCCTTCCAAGCCCAAGCAACATGTTTGGCTAAACTTAAAAAAAGTAGAGGCTAAGTAAATTTTTAACTCCCAATCCCAATATGAGTGATTACTTACTTTATTCTTGCTTTCAAGTAAAAAAGAGTCATCATGACACCCGGCAGTATTTTACAGAATGGCTTTCCTATTCTAAAGTAATATTTTAGGCAAAGATTCAACCAAAATGTTTTGCCACCTAAAGCTACAGCACGTTAATTGTACACCCATGGGAAGGTGGCAAACCTAACGTCTGACAAAATCTAGGTATACAACTTGTAAGCCTTCACTTGGCACATTGTGGACTGGCTGCTTATTTTCCTCAAATAACATTTTTTTCCCCTTGAATAACTGGCTCTAGATAAATTTGACATTGATCTTACCCTGATCTCCAGGTTTAATAAGCCGAGCACAAGGCTGATCAGTTTCACCACCCTGAAATGGAGCATAACAAGGAAAAATATACCACTTTAATCTGCAAGGGAGCGTATATTGCATTGACACAAAAGAAATATGAAGTTTGTTCAGGAAAAACCAATAATGAATTTGTCTAAAGAAATTTGGAAGAACAAAAGCATGCGGAACTCGTGGATTTAAGAAATAAATTGAAAAAAAAAAATCAACTAAGTCAGAGGTCATCAGTTCATGTGTACATTGCCAGAACTAAATTAACAGAATCATGACTTTTATTCTTGCTATTCTTAGTTGTTACTTCAAATGGCATTTCAAGTTCTCATGTTTGTTTTCAGACCTTCAAGCATCAATTTCACGTTGTCCAGTAAGTTTATGGGTGAAAATAAGTTTTAAGCCAAAACTTTATATAAGAGAAAGTCAAATAGATGTCAAGGAGAAAATGAAGGGCAGGCACCATCTTTTCCCAATTTTCTAATAAATTTTCTTGTCACATCACAAGAGGACACTGGAAGGAAAGAGAAACTTCAGAACATGGCATGCAGAATGAAATAAGTACAGGTTTTCTTATAACACCATTTTCACTTGGCCCCGGTTTGACAACTTTTATTTGGGAAAAACAATGTTTTGAATAGTGATTTTTAGGAGGATGTGTGGTTAAAATGTGGAGAAAAGTTTTCGGTTTACGTGGAGAATATTTTATTGTGTGAATGTATGATTGAAAATGAGTACGTAGAAAAAAGAGTTTTCAAATAATGGTTGTCAAACAGGGGGGCTTAATAAAAAGAGTTGCTATTTTTGTTTGGTGGTTGTATTTCAACTGAAGAATGCAGAGGAAACAAATGAAACGAAGATAAGGCTAGAAAAACATCAGTAGTCACTTAGATGTCAAATGGAATGAGATATGATAATGCAAGACTTAAACTTATGATTCCTTAGCATGGTAATATTGGTGGTATATCAAACAATCTATATTAAAGAAACACCAGCTTTTTTGGCAACTACATATTGTATATCTACGGTCAGCCGCACAAAATTTATAAGCCAAAAAAAATTGTTAATATCCTACAGTTTGAAAAATTGAAAAATAAATAAAAAGAAACCAACATGCTTCCATTTTAACACAGATTTACAGCTACTTCTATCTTATTACCTTAAATTGATTTATTTTCTTTTACTCAAAAGCAAGAATACAATATGAAGCTACTACATGATATAGATGGCCCAGAGTATCTTATGCATCATTTGTTTCAATAAATTATTGGTTTTCTGGTGGTGGCAGTTTCCTCAGCAGACATACAAAAAAATTTATATACTAGATTTATGAATAGAAGTATCGAGATTGAACAAGTTTTCATTATGCGAAAGACACTATATGCACAAATATGCATTTAGAAGAGTAAAGTTAGCAACCAGAGTAAGCACAGTCCAACCATATTCTGGAGACCAGTCCAAAGAAGGGCGTAGATCCTCAAGAGAAAATTCATAAGTTAAGCCTTCACCCATAGGTGGTGGTGGCGACTTAATCTGAAGAAACAAAACAACAAATAAGAAAAACTGTTATCATCAGTGTTACTTCAAAACGGGGGAAAGGACAGTTTACAAGAGCCTGAGATAGTAGAGTCACAGAACAGCGTCATTCACTGCACACATTTATGAGGAACTTTTGAGTGAATTAGTAGTGTAAATATTTTCAATTTGAAGATTTGTACCAAGTGAAATGTGATGCACCAGTGTCCTTTCAAACCTAATGACAGTATTTAAATGATAAGCACATGGCCTTTAACCCACTAAATTATTTTGTGCACATGTCAAGCTTTAACCTTGCCAACACGTGAGGGGCATGTTGAAGACAAGATTTAGATGGTATACATGTAACCTTCTCTATCAACTTAAACTTCTAAATCAAGTGGTTCAACAACTACCAATAAAAGAGGTACTGAATTCTATATACAAAAATGAAATTGAACAAACAATTAAATCTAGCACTAAGCTAAATCATATACTATGCATGACAGGAAAATTAAATATTTGTCAATCTTCCAATGTGTCCATCCCTACTAGTTAAATACTATCATCAAATCTCTCTCGACAATCATAATACTATTTGGTATAATAATATCCAAGTGTACTTTGAGAACATCATGAGGATGAAGATCTCGCACAAGAAAAGGAAAGTACTTCCAAACTGAAAAAGAAATTGTCATAGAAGAAGAACTGACCCAAATAATTTTTGATGACAAAGAGAGGCAAATGATGAAATCATTTTCTTTGCAGATGGAAACACATCTATGGCTTTCTCATTAAATAAACTGTTGTGTCTCAAGGATACTCTAGTTAGCCAAAACCAAGAAAATGCAAGAATGATAACAAAAGATTGGCCAAAAGTAAATGAATAAGCACAAGAAAATATTGGAGTTTCATGTCTGGTCTTTTGGATAGATTGTGGAAGTAGTTATTGTGCCAAAAGAACTCATAATGGGATCGTATGTGCTAATATGATATATATTTCTGTTGAAATCCCAGATTTGTGGCAATATTCCATCTTCCCTAATTAGCATTGTCAATTTAGGAAAACTATAATTTTGTAATTAGGAAAGATTTTAGGAGATTAGTGCATTGATTTAGGAATATTGTTTTTCCTTATTTAACGTCTTTTGTATACTATAAAAGGATGTAATTAGGGTGTAATTATTCACTGAGAAATAAAAGAATATTCTCTACAATTCACATGATATCAGAGCAGGCTGTGTAAAAGCCCGATGACTAACACTGTCGACATCAGTAAGGAGTCAAAGACTTCTGAATCTCAAGGCAGTGAAACCGAAGTCATTCCCACAATGGGTTTGGGGGGAATTGACAATTCATCCTTTAAACTCACTATAGAAAAGTGAAATCAGAAAACTCCCTAGTGACCGTGTGGCTCAGGAATTCCATGAAGCCCCTCCATTGGAAAGACGTATATATTCCTACCAGCGGCAAATGATGTATGGGACGTAGTTATAGAGACGTATTCGGATTCAAAAAACTCTACCCATATCTTTGAAATTAAAACCAAATTGTGGGAAACAAAACAAAGTGATAGGGATGTAACTGAATATTACATGGAGATGATGGCACTATGACAGGAGCTTGACTTGAGTATAGAGGAAGGGTGGGATTGTCCAGCTGATTGCGCACACTACCGTAAATTAGATGATGTGAGAGGGAAGATCCTAGGGAGGCGACCGTTACCGTCGATGAGGGAAGTTTTTTTAGAGATCCTCTGGGAGGAAAATCGAAGGCAGGTGATGATGAACCGTGGGAAATCGCTACTAGAGAAGAGATGTCGGGGTTGAAGATAAAAAGGCCAAGGTCTCTTAAAAATGGGCCGAAACTAGGTGATAAGTACGGAAATAGGCCGGGTAATTTGAAGACCAATTTAGGGGTGGACCGGCAACTTTTTTTTCAATAATGGGCCTAGCAATTTTAACACTAGATCTGGTATTATGGGTTCATATTCAAAAGGCGCAACAAACAGAGCGGGCATAAAACAACAAAAGGGACGATCTTTGTGCGAACATTGCCATAAACCAGAACACAAAGAAGATACATGTTGGGATTTGCATGGAAAACCGACCGATTGGAAATCGAGACAGCATTATAGAAATCGAGCCTACCAAACTTCAATTGACTAGCAAACCACAAATTCCACCTCAAGCGGTACTTTCAATCCCGAACAGATAGAGCAACTCTACAAAATTTTCTCGAGCCTTCAAACATTCGATCAATCTTCCCAAATTGGTCATTCGAGATAGCTGGCCCATAGAGGTAACTTTCAACAAGCCTTAAATGCTACCTCCAAACTTGAAACCCCTTGGATAATTGACTCAGGAGCGTCTGATCACGTGACGGGCTCCTACAACCTATTTTTCTCATATACAACTTGTGTGGGTAACCTCAAAGTTAAGATTTCTGACAGGTCACTCTCACTTGTCGCAGGAAAATGGAGTATTTGAGTCTCTGACTCCATAACTTTAAAATATGTCCTTCATGTTCCTAATTTATCCTGTAATTTATTATACATAAGCCAATGGACAAAAATCGAATTGTACTTCTAAATTCCTTCCATCAAATTATGTTTTCCAAGACCTATCATCGAGAAAGACAATTGGCAGTACTAAGGAGGGTGAGGGGCTCTACTACTTTGACGAGGTCGATATGAGTACGCAACATCGAATTACCTTTTGTTATTCTGCATTTGTTCCTAGTGATAGCGAAATCTTGTTACGGCTTTTTAAAATGGGACATTCCAATTTTCATTATTTGAGACATATTCCCCACTATTTTTCGAAATAAAAGGCTAATCAAATTTTCAATATGAATTTTGTGAACTTGCTAAACATAAACTAAACTCATTCCCAAAATCCACATATAAACCCTCGAAACCATTCACTGTGATCCACAATGACGTTTGGGGTCCCTCATGCATTCTTAATCAAACTCATACGTTCATTACATTTATTGACAACCACACTCAAATTTGTTAGGTGTATCTCTTAAAAGGAAAATCTAATGCTTGATCCGCGTTTATCAATTTCCACTCCATGATCCAAACTCAATTTCAAACACATTCAAATTCTTCGCACAAATAATGACATTGAATACTTCCAACACAAATTTGGGGGATTTCCTTCTAACTCATGAAATAATTCACCAAATCTCGTGTTGAAACATCTCAACAAAATGGGATTGTCGAACGGAAAAATAGATACCTCCAAGAAGTTGCTAGTGCTTTAATGTTTACTACAAATGTGCCAAAAGGATTCTAGGGTGATGCTATCTTAACAACCACTTATGTAATCAATGCCTAGTCATACCTCAAACTTCGAATCACCCCTCAAAAGATTTCAATCATTCTTTCAGACCTCTCGACTAAACTTGAACCTACCCTCAAGGTATTTAGGCGTACCACATTTATTCATGTTAACAGTAGTCACAAAAATAAACTCGAACCTCAAGCTACTAAATGTGTCCTCGGATATTCTCCCACTCAGAAGGGATACAAATGTTATGATCCTTCCACAAAAAAAGGTCATTGTCAGTTTCGACGTCATATCCTTTGAAAATACCCCATACTTCCACAAAACATCTTTTCGGGGAGAGAATTTAAATAAAGATCGATAGCTAAACTTAGATCTTCTCCCTCTGGAATCTATGCCTATCATACCACCTAGTCCCTCTATGCCATATTGCAGGAGAAAACTTGAATCTATGAGGAGTTGTAGAAAAACAAGGTGGCAAGAATATGCTTGTTTACTCAAGGAAACCAAAACCAAAACCAAGGCACAAGGAGAATCTCACTCTTGAAGCATCAAGAAAGTTGGAACTAATGATATCTCCAGAGTCCCATGACACCACAGATGTACAAGAATCATCAGACATTAATCCACCCATCGCACTCAGAAAACAAACTCAATCATATACTCTCCATCGTATCTCAAAGTTCTTGTCATAATGCTCTATCTACATGATTTCTTAGTTTCACATCTCACCTCGACAGTACCAAAATTTCAAGGGATATTTAGGAAGTTTTGAAAATTTCAAAATGGAAAGAAACGGTAATGAAAGAAATGTGAGCGTCGGAAGAAAAATGAAACTTGGGAAATAATAGATTTGGTAAGAGGAAATAGACTAGTTGGATGCAAATGGGTCTTCAACTTAAAATATAAAGCGGATGGGATATTAGAACGGTATAAAGCTCGGCTAGTTGTAAAGGAATACACTCAGACCTATGACATTGACTACACAGAAATATTTGCACGTGGCAAAATTAAATACAGTCCAAGTACTCGTCATTAGCAGCAAACTTGGATTGGCATCTCCAACAACTGGACATTAAAAATGGATTTCTAAATGGAGAATTGGAAGAAGTTTACATGACAATATCACCAAGTTTTTGCAAGGTAAACAAAAGGAATCGGGTATTCAAGTTCAAGAAGCCCTTATATGGACTAAAGCAGTCACCTAGAACATGGTTTGACAAATTTGCAAAAGTATTGAAGAGACTAGGATACCAACAAGGACAGTTAGATCACACCGTTCATCCAACAGTTTGATGATAGGACTACGACAATCTTAATTTTATATGTTGATGATATAATCTTGGCAGGAGATAACAGTGGAAATGGATATGCTTAAGAATAATCTAGCCACTGAATTTGAAGTAAAAGTTCAGGGACAAATGCAATACTCTTAGGAATGGAAGTAGCCAGGTCAAAAAAGGGCATAGGATTTTCATAGAGAAAGTATGTTCTTGACCTCCTTACTGAAACAAGAATGCTTGGATGCAAACTAAGTGATACACCAGTTGATGTGGGGAATAAAACTGAGAATACTAGTAGTGCAATAGACACAGACAGATATCAACGACTAGTAGGTAAACTAATCTACTTGTCACACACTAGACTTGACATTGCATTTGCAATTAGCATGATAAGCCAATATATGCAATATCCCATCTTCCCTATTAGCATTGTCAATTTAGGAAAACTATAATTTTTGTAATTAGGAAAGATTTTAGGAAATTAGTGCATTGATTTAGGAATATTGTTTTTCCTTATTTAACCTATTTTGTATACTATAAAAGGATGTAATTAGGGTGTAATTATTCATTGAGAATTAAAGAGTATTCTCTACAATTCAACAGTCAATGCAGAAGACAAAACCACTTAAAATATTACCTTGGCCTTGCCATCATCTAATAACTCTATTATTCTTCCGGACCAGTAGCAACCAGTATCCAACCCATCAACCAAATTCCCCACCTTCCATGCATCATCCATAATTACCGTCACTTCTGAAATATCATTGACATTAGGCATTTGGTTTTCATGGTAGACAGGTGGATAGGGCGGCCTTAACATCAATATACTTTGTTCCTTTTTCAGCTTTCCACTGTAATGAACAGGTACCTCATATAGCTTCACCCACTCTTTTTCTGTAGACATGAAAACAAAAACTTCTTTTCAAACACAATAATGCTACAATCAAGATTGTAACTTATGAAATAAAAGGTAATGCATTTTGCCTCTTCATGGAACTCCTAATTATAATCAATATTCATCATTTAACATCTGGACATAATATCAAAAGATACGTAGCGAGAATTGGGTTCTGCTTTTGACATACATCTGCCTTCACGAACTGAAAATATCAAACATTCGTAATCATGAAAAATGTTCCTACCATCCTGGATTAAATGATCCCAATACCTTTTTTGGTCATCAAGAAAAAATGTCTCCCTTCCTAAAATAGACATCTCCTTTCCAAAATTACATTCATTAAAGTAGATGAACCACTAACAAATATTCTGGACCTCTAGTTTGACAGCAAAAATGATAAGTTAGTCAAATACTCACCTCAAATCTCACCTAAGATATTTATGCGAAGTCAAACAATGCCGTTCAGCTCTAGAAAGATGGATAATGCAAGGACATCAGATATAATAATTTTACACATGAAAAAACTGCCAAGATAAATTATATAGACGATGAAAAAGTAAATGAATCAGTCTTCAATTTCGTCATAACAGTCATCTTACTCCTAGTTCAAAAATCACTCTACTACAAAGGATTTTACCACATTACAGAAATAAAGCAATGAAAAAGAACTAAAAAGTATCATGGCCATGTCACAAGCAATTATAGTTCAAAGGCACTGAAAATATCCAGACTGTTCAGAACCCAGTAGAGGTTCTTGTTTCAGAGATCTCCAATTTATATGATTAATAGAAGTTTCACAGATTTGTTCTGTGCTTCTTTTTCTTTCTGGCATGGCTCAAAACAGTGTTTTTTTAATACATTTAACTTTAGGGACAGCAAAATTTACCATTCCCGAAAGGAAATTGTCAGCTAAACCCTGCCCAGGTCTCTACATTTGTCCTTGTAGCTCTTTCATAAGCATAATGTAACAAACCACTAGGGTATTAGTTCACGTCTTTAGGTGGCCAAATTATTTTTTTGTTAATGCACATTACTATAATGTAAGCACGAGATCTTATGTCAATAACTTTGAATCTTTGATCCTGGCATGTATAACTGATCCAAGTGGCTTCTAAGCAGATTAGCTTTCAATATCTTCTAATGAATAGATATTTATTAGTCATCTGCGCTTAACACTTGCATCATACATCCACTCAATGTAAGGTGCTAAAAAATTTAATGACTTAATAACATCGTACATCACCACAAATCTCTTTACACATCTAATGTGCATATAGAAAAACGTGCATGCTCAACCCTGATGCACTATTCGAATCACAATGTTAATTTACTTTTGAATGTTAACGCTAACAATAAGAAACATTGGCATTTTATTAAAGTAGAAATCCACATAATCTACTACCAATTTAAATATTGAAGCACTAGTTATTTTGAAGACAATATTTATATGATATATGTGTTCCTCACTGACAACTTATTTTTGTAAATCAATGGTATTAGAGCCCAACAAGCTCATATGAATTATTCGATCTATCTAAAGCTCAAACGAGCAATTGAATCGTATTCTCAAACAAGTCACCATTTTGCAGGGCATATTAAGGCCCATGTTGGTTATAGCTGAAATAAATAACCAACATATAATCAGTAAGTATCCTTCTTTTAACAATATTAACCTTTTAAAATGGAACTTCAAAAATCAATATGGTATCGGTGCACGTAAATGTCCTGAGTTCAAGTTTCTCCATCACTATTTTAATGAAATTATGTGCATGGTAGTTTTTGCTGAAAATAAAAGAACATGCCAACACATGAGAGACGTGTTGAAAACAATACATATACATTTAGTCCTCTCTAACAGCTTAAACTTTTAGATCGGGTGATACAACAATTTATTGTAGCCAAATCATTAAGCTCAAGTCAAAGATTTACCTGGACCTTCATAGTCTAAATATTCTACGAAGACTTGTCCAATACGCCCTTTTCTTGAGCCAATCTTTCTTATCTGATTATGAAGAGAGAAGGTACATAAATACAAGAAATATTTTGCATCTTTGCAGGATTAACGCTTCTCATAAAAAAGGCAGGTCTGCAATATTACATATATTAGCACTTGACTATATGCAATAAATCAAGAAATTAATAAATAATAAATAATAGAAAAAAGAATTTCAGGGGTTGGCTACATTATTATATTGAAATTGGAGTCTAACTATGATGACACTCAAGGTTAAAGCAACAAGGTGCAAATTACGAATTAATGAACTGCTGCACTAAATCAGTCATCATGTATGGAAGTTTAACTGCCCCAGTGATTATTTCTTGTGATCCAAACGCCTTTATTCCCTGATGAAACTTAATGGTCCCAATGGTCAGGATTTAGGATAAAACATTTCTGGTAAAAGCTTGACATTATCTATATTTATGCTTGACTTCTGACATTTACAGTAGGTTTACAGTTTCTTAATTGGCAACTAATCCAGGTGCAGCCTGATTAACATGAGGCTTTTGGCACGAGGGACGTGATGAGAACCAAAAGATCATTCCAAAACAACTACTTCGTGTCTTTAAAAAAAAATCAGAAATTTTATAGTTCCAAAAACTCAAGTTTTAGCAAAATTTGAAAGGACATCAGATATGAATGACGTCCACTCAATTTCAATGCAGGTAATCTCACTATCTATAATCTCTCGAAGTACTAAATATGCAAATAAAGTAAAAAAAATACAAATAGAACAAAAATAAATCTAACCACAAAAGGAAAATCTTAATAAGTTAACCTAGCCTCCAACTTGAAAATCACAAACAGCTCACAACACTTGTTCCATTCTGTAGCATTTTAGGGTATAGAGACATGATTAGTTATTTTCATACAACAAAGTAGTAGACATTAAACCACATAATTTGGGGTCGGCTTATTGAATTCATTTTGGTTACACATTTCAATCCATTGCCACATCTTCCGAAAGTTTAATTAAAACCAAACCCGACTATGCCACACCATGTCATCATTATTTGTATACCCTTTATGCTCTTAATATGTTCTATTGGGATCACATTGCTCTTGGGGATAAAGCTTCTTTAGGGCTAGGCAACAAAGAAGAAAGTCTAAAGACAGATCCACGTGTTTTAGAAATATGAGCATGCCTATTCCAGAAAGTCAAAGACTCCAAACATGAATATAACTCAAATGACAAATATTGATCTACTTTAGTGGGGCAATAGTTTTAGTCCACGCAGAACAATACCAAGGATGTGTAGATGGAGCAATCACGAGGGTGTCATAGATTAGAGGCTATAAAAACTATAAATTTTCTATTACCATGAGATTGTGTGACGGTTGCCCAAAAGTCATTTTTTTGCTTCAGTCATGGATGGATATATGAGACATACAAGATGGTGTGTTTTAGCCCATGTTTGGTTTAGTTTAAAAATATATTTTTAGTATATTTTGATAAAAGTTTCGAAAAAATATGTGGTTAAAAAGTTCAAAAAAAAGTTGTGAATCCCATGAGGCGAGGTTGAAATGAATTTGAGTAAAAATGAGTTTTAACAGGGGACTTAGTATATGTTATTCGCAGTTGAAATAGTTTTAGTTGATAAAACAAGGAGGTGAATAAATCTTCTGTTAGAATTTGTGGAAATACACGATCCCTAATTATAATCCCTCCCGAACGGGGCCCTACTTTAGTGGGGCAATAGTTTTAGTCCACGCAGAACAATACCAAGGATATATAGATGGAGCAATCACGAGGGTGTCATAGATTAGAGGCTATAAAAACTATAAATTTTCTATTACCATGAGATTGTGTGACGGTTGCCCAAAAGTCATTTTTTTGCTTCAGTCATGGATGGATACATGAGACATACAAGATGGTGTGTTTTAGCCCATGTTTGGTTTAGTTTAAAAATATATTTTTAGTAGATTTTGATAAAAGTTTCGAAAAAATATGTGGTTAAAAAGTTCAAAAAAAAGTTGTGAATCCCATGAGGCGAGGTTGAAATGAATTTGAGTAAAAATGAGTTTTAACAGGGGACTTAGTATATGTTATTTGCAGTTGAAATAGTTTTAGTTGATAAAACAAGGAGGTGAATAAATCTTCAGTTAGAATTTTCGAGAAACACTTTGAAATTTAGAGATTATAGATTAAATAAAACTAAAACACAATATGTAGCAAGTCATTTTCATCACAATAGGAATATAGAAGATATTTAAATCATTATATAGGATCGTGTTGTCCAAGTGTGATTATGTAAGTATCTAGTTCCGATTTTAAACAAGGAAAGTGGTCTTGAAAAAGATGTAATGCTGCTAGAGAACATCCGATTTTAAACAAGGAAAGTGGTCTTGAAGAGGATGTAATGCTGCTAGAGCACATCGGACAAAATGACAAGTGCAACAGGGATTCTATGTGATCAAGTGGTGCCCATGAAGTAAAAAAGCAATTCTACGAAACAATTATTAGACAAATTATGATTTATGGAACTAAATGTTAAATTTACTAAAGGACAAAATATCAATAAGATGAGCAAATAAAGAATGAGGATGCTGAGATAGATGAATAGATGAAAAACAAATGAGAATATATGTCAACAAATAGAGGTACAACAATAGGAGGGTAAACCAATAAAATGACGATCATTGAAAGCATAGTTTCCACAGTATTCACAGCTAAATCTCAGTTATGATAGTCAAAAAGGTAAGTCAAGATGAAAGAATCTACAGAACAAAGAAAACAACAATTTCATCATTATTTTTTATGAAATTACTATGATAAATGAAAGCATATAATTCAGGTACATGCCAGAGAAGCTACAGTCATGGCAGAATCGAAATAAATCAATTTATGTTGATCAATATAAAAGGGAAACTACCATGAATTAACTCGCAATGGTACATGTCCAAGCTAATTTAGTATTTTTGCCACTTTACATATTCTTAAAATATTTTACGCATTGACACCCATAGTTATCATACCTAGCCCAGCCAATTAACCCAGTCAATACCAGGCTCAATAAGTCACTGGTTCAATCGGTAGGTCATTGTGGGATCAAAAGTTTAATAAAAATTCAATTCTAACAGATGAAAAATAAATATGACTGAGCTTAAAAGACATTAAAATAGTTATTTCATAATTAAAAATTAGCAAACTTTTTTTTTCCTGTGAAATTTTGTACTTGGCCAACATGAATTTTCTATGCTCTAAAATGTAGATTGAAGTAAGAGAGAGTAAAATAATAGTTGATATTTTTTTAATGTATGATAAAATGATAATGTAATACAATTTTGGTAAAGGTATGTAACAAAGACCAACAAGTCAGCACAGTAGTTGAGGTCTCGGGGAAGAATGTTAAGCATTATATAGAAGGTTCAAACCTTAACTACAACATTCTAGCTTATCTGATTTTTTCAAAGCAGGTCACCAGTTCTTATTAGAAACATGAAAAGATTGTCCGCTTCCATTGTTTACTAAATCCATTAGATTCAACCGGATCAAGTTGCTAGCCATTTCACCAGTGACAGGCTGACTGGTCCAACTCTTATAACAGTGTTTACAGCACACATTACAAGACAAAATATTGGACATATTTCTTAAGCATATTTATTAGACTTCACACTTCATAATACCTTGCATCGAAACCATGCACCAAGATAACCCTTCTCAAAAGTCCTTGCCTCAGCTAACTGTCCAACTTTGAAAGGCAGAGTTCTTCCCTTGACCATGATGGCTTAACTATTTCCCTGTATCATACATCCACTGAACACAAATCAGAGATCTTATACACAGATCACAGGTAATAATTTCAAAATCAACAAAATATGGCAAACTTCCACAAACATATTAAAGCGAAAATTAGACAAGCACGAGCATCCATGCAAAATAATTCTACTGGAATTTCAAAATCACAAGGCCAACTGCCTTCAAACAAAGAAGCATTTTGGAGTCACTAAAATTAGGAAAAGGGATTTATATAAGGAATCAGCAAAGTAAGAAAAATGTCTTACAGTAAATTGGAGTTATAAAGAACAGAAAATCAAACTAGATATGAAGATATACTGCTACAAGTATGAAAAGAAAATATTATTACTAAAGGAATTAGACATGTTGCCAAATGAGAAAAAAAAAGTATGTGAAGTAGGAGAACAATATACTTTAATCTAGTAAGTCAAGTCAATAAAACAAATTTGCGAGGGCAATTAATTGAATTCTCATTATTTGTCCAACAGAACTGGTATCATATTAAAAGTTGCCAAGAACTCATATTTTGATTCGAATTCTTAAATCATTTGAAATCCTAAACAACTATACTACTACAGGGGGAAAAAAAAAAAGGTACCCGTGAAAAAATGTTTTGTGTTCTATATGAGGACAACTCATTTTAGGAAGTATTGAACATCAAAAATTAAACAAGAATACTCGTGTTTATGGCAATCTATAGGTACAATGACGAGAAGGAGAACTCTTTAAACTCGAAATGACTACATGAAACAAAATTTCTTGAAAATGACATTTCTTCAAGAATCTACAAAAGTAGAAAGCAAAACTATTTATGTTGTTAAAAATTAAGGCAATCCATTTCCGTTATATTTTGTGACGGTTAAAAATAATAATAATCAAAATTTAGATGCTAACATTAAGTATATTGATATAAGTTATGCCCAAGGTGTGATTTGTGTTTGACTTGTTTATTGAAATGTTCATGAAGCTCTTACTCCAAGAAACTTGAAGTGAACTATTTGAATCTTTTTTCACCAATCCCTTCAATCTAAATCTACCTCTACTTGTTAGTACATACTCCTCGTTACTTATTTTATTCATTTTAGCATGTTCACATGTCCATCTTACGGTCCTAATCTTTGCACCCTAATGTTAAGTACACCTTGTCCTTCCATAACTCGATGATTCGATTTTGGCATAACTTAACCATCTTTCTTCATGAAATGAACAAGTGAAAGTTCTCTAGGGTTTCATAATGGATTAGACCTATAAAGGACAATTACAATTTTATATCCTGATAGGTACACAATTGTGTTGTTGGAATATGAATTAATCCAGATAGAGCACGAAACCGTGCAAATCTATGATGATGGATTGCTACTGAATGTTCACTATCCAAGAAATTCATTATCACCTCCACTTTTCCTATTTCAGAATTCGATTCAATGTAAAGAATTTCTCTGTTGTAAACAGAGCCAATGCTCCAGACATTCGCAATGGAATACGAGCATTTTGTATTGTCTGCGTCACTATGCAAATAGTGTTAGCAACTCACAGATTTCCCATACTTGCCTTGCGATGTATTAACAATAATAGAGTTCTCCAAAGGACAATTTGGCTTAAGTCTCTTCCCTTCGATTTTGATGTATTTTCGAGTTTGTCTTCATCCAATTTCCGAAGCATGTTCTCCATCCTTTCCCACACAGCTCCGATTATGTCCTTAAGTTGCTTCTTCACTACAACTATTGTTTCTTCCATTAGTTATGGGAAAATTGGGATCTAGGAAAACCGTGCAGTCGAAGAACCAACCACAATCGAAGCGAAAAAGGGATGTTCAGCCTGCTAAAGTAGGCATAATTACTCAATTGATCTGCTAACATTAACATGGTGTTCATGAAAACCCCATAGTTTGATGCTCCACCTACAACACTTCTTGGTACACTAGAATAAACTTGTGTGTTGCCCCATAATCAAATGGAACACGAAGATTATACCATCTTGGGTTTAATATCTTTCTTAGTTGTCATGTGTCAACCCCAAAACTAAATTAATGTAGAGCTCGATTGTGTTAAATGTCCCTTACCTTGTTGTCTTCGAAATTGCATGCTTTCTCGCTTACTATCATCACCAATATTCCTCGATTTTTCCATCAGTAACCCACTTGTGTAATTTTCGTCACACTGAAAACATAGTCCCATGTCCCACTTGGCTTCTAGCTTGACATCAGTCAAATGCCGAAAACAAATGGTGGCTTCTAGTACTACCTCGGGTTTCGCTCGAGAGGATAGGTTGCATTTATTTGTGCCATTTGAGTTATAACTCTAAAAGCTTATTTAGCTCTAGCCAACTCCTTGGTTCGAGATAGCCCACTTTTCGAGGATATCAAATTACACCACATTATTTCCTTCCAACAGAGATCATGGAATCTCTTTTCATGGCAAATCTAAAATCCCACATCAACATTTATCTATAGCAATAGCTTTCTCGTCGATGGCAATCACTTTTAATAAGAAAAATTTATCCATCAATAAATTCTCTAATTCTTCCCTACTTCGAATGGGCAGAAGATCATATGTCCATTGAAGCTATGATAAGGATTTTTCATCAAATCTAATCCAGGTTCATTGTAAATTCCATGAATTCATCAACGCGTTACTCGTGATATAGCACTGAACTCTTTTAGATCTACAATCAAGATTTTTTATAGAATGCCAGAATCACTTTATCAGTTGCTTTTCCACCGACATGCGATCAACGATACTCAATTTTTGCAATCAATCATTTTCTTTTTCTCTAATCATTGTCCTCTCCAACTTGTGTGCATTTGTTTAAAGATCCAACCATCACGATTTTCAAAGGTGAACAACGAAATCTTTGACTATTGTTTTTTCCACAAGCAGGTAAAGATCGAGGTATTCAATAGTTACATCATCTGCTCGTAACAACCTAAATCTTCTTTTCCTAACTCCACTTGTTGGCTCATATTCTCAATTATTATTTTATCCATCTAGGTATAACCAAATATTCATCTTAGTTTCTTCATTTTCGACTCTACTCAACTTAAAATCTTAAATTCAAAATACTCATTCAACATTCTAATTCAATTATCTAAGCATAATTTTGACAAGAAGATCGAATAGAAGAAAATTCTAATTTGAAAATTTACCTTTGTCTAAAGGTATTTACTAGTAGGGCACATCATTTCCTAAGATTTGATCCTACAAATCTACAAATTTAGCAATCATTTGTTTAGTTCTCAATTCACTTATTTTCCAATATAATAAAATTATAAAATAGTAATACTTATTAAGTGCCTGTTTGGAGCCCATTTTTGCCTCATTTTTAGAAGTTTTCAAACTGTTGCACTGTGTATTCTTCATTCAATTTTCATGCATTCTAACACAAAAATAACAAAAGGTTGTGCAAAGTGAATCTTTTACTTTCTATTTCATCTCTTTTAACCCCCACACTCCAACCACCTAATCCATGCAAAATTAACTTTCCTCTCTTCTGCATTTAGCCTCCAACCGGCTTCCCCATTTGACCCCCCTTTCAATTTTCTTTCTTCCACCGACAATTTCTACCGTTTACCCAGTGCCCAAGTCATGACCAAGCTTCAAATTAGTTGTGAGGGTCTTCTACTCAAGTCAGATTCTTTCCAAGAAGTAGGTGTCGATGGTGATCAAGGACTCCGCCAAAAATTCGCTGCTTGCAATCGGAGAGGTGGCACGTCGACTCAGTCCCCGCCGTTGAAAGCTCTTGCTGGGCTTGATCTACATGGATCCATCTTTCCCTCAGGTCAAATTGCCAAAATCGGTTATTTCTATTTTACTTTTCGATCGTCCATAATTGGTATTCTTCCTTCCCCCTATTCTCAACTATAATGTGGATGTTGATGAAATTTCAACACCTAACTCGCGCACGCAGGTTGTTTACCACCCACATGCCGACTCGTGTGCACCTCTGAAGACGACAATAGTGAATATTGTCTTGAAAATGCCAGATCGAAGCCAACGGTACTAAAAGTGTTAATCGCGGCCTGTGAAACAACCATTGCAAAGGGTCACCGCAATGGCAAGTGCTTCACCAAACACAGGTGGGAACGAGTGATATTGTTGTTCAACACCACATTCGGCCACAACACCTAAGAAACAAATGGGACTCCATGAGGCGGGACCATCGTGTAAAGGAGTTGCTTAATTACACAATGGTCGAGTTCAACCCAACAACCGAACACATTTGAGCTGACAAAGAATGGTAGTGCCCAAGAGTCAAGGTTGCATTCTTCCAGTATTGTTTTCACTCTGGGCATTAAATGTATATTTCTGTTTCTTTGATTTGTTTTGTTTTTGGTTTTTATTTCGATGAATCTACCTAGAGCATAAAGTGCAAAACAACTATATAAAATTTTCAAGCAACTCACACATACATTATCTACCCATTTACAATTCCAATTGGCATAAATTCAAAATAGAGCCAATTGAAGGTTGAGTCAACATTTTGCTTGAACTTGATCTATAGAAATTAACTTTTATACATATTTGTAGTCCAGTAACCCGAGCTCAAGTTATGAACATGGAAATGTTATTACGTGGAATCTTATTATGGTTTGTAAACATTGAAATGTTATTATGTGGTATCTGTTGTTTCAAGATTTGGAGTTTTGTTATTATTACTTTTTTTTTTTGCAATTTATCAAGCATGTGAACTAGAGTCAAATTTCACAAGTATGGTGCTCTCGTTTAGCCTCCATTAAAATTATAATCTATTTTTCTCTCTTCTTATCAACCACACATTTTCTAATAAAATAATATTATACTTAAATCCAAAAAAATTTCTTTTTTTTAATTACACATTCTTTAAAAAAACATTATTCAAAAAATTATAATCTAAAATAATGGGAGCCAAAAGAGGCCTGATAAAAATTTTGCTAAGTATGTCTTATATCTACTCAAGTAATTGCTACATTTAATAGAATATTCAAAATAAACCTCTGTTTGACAAT